CCCCCGGAGCCCCCAGACCCCTCCCCGAGCACCTCGCGGGTCGTACGCGGTCACCGTCTTGTCGTAGGTGCCGGTGACGAGCACGTCGGGGCGGTACGAGAGGCACAGCACGGCCGCTTTCTCCCTGCGGGGAGCGAGGGGAGGGGGTCAGCGGGACCCCCCCGGCCTCCCCCGGAGCCCCCCGGGGGTCGTACCTGATCTCCCCGAACTGCTGCCCCTCGGCCGCCAGGTCCCAGAGCTTCACGGTGCTGTCCCAGGAACCGGAGCACACGCGGCTGTCGCGGGCGGCCAAACACCAAACCCAGCCCTGGGGGGACACCCAGAGCCTGGATCCCCCCCGGGACCCCTCCCCAGGACACCCGGGGGGGTTTTTGGGGAGGGAGTCGGGTGGGATCCCCCACCTTGTGGGTGCCAGAGGCGCTACCGGAGCCCGGATCCCCCCCGGGACCCCTCCCCAGGACACCCGGAGGGGTTTTTGGGGAGGGGGTCGGGTGCCGAACACCAAACCCAACCCTGGGGGGATCCAGAGGCGTTACCGGAGCCCGGGACCCCTCCCCAGGACACCCGGAGGGGTTTTTGGGGAGGGGTCGGGTGGGATCCCCCACCTTGTGGGTGCCGAACATCAAACCCAACCCTGGGGGGATCCAGAGGCGTTACCGGAGCCCGGGACCCCTCCCCAGGACACCCAGGGGGGTTTTTGGGGAGGGGTCGGGTGGGATCGCCCACCTTGTGGGTGCCGAACATCAAACCCAACCCTGGGGGGACACCCAGAGCCTGGACCCCCCGAGTCCCCTCCCGGGACCCCTCCCCAGGGCACCCAGGGGGGTTTCTTTGGGGAGGGGTCGGGTGGGATCCCCCAACTTGTGGGTGCCGAACATCAAACCCAGCCCTGGGGGGACACCCAGAGGGGTTTTTGGGGAGGGGTCGCCCACCTTGTGGGTGCCGCTGCGCCCCGAGCCCAGCCCTGGGGGGATCCAGAGGCGCTACCGGAGCCCGGGACCCCCCCGGGACCCCTCCCCAGGGCACCCAGGGGGGATTTTTGGGGAGGGGTCGCCCACCTTGTGGGTGCCGCTGCGCCCCGAGCCCAGCGCCTTCACCAGAACCTTCCCGGGGGGGCCCCGGCCGAGCTCCCGCAGGTCCCAAAGGTTCACGTTGCGATCGCGACCCCCAGAAACGCACAGAGACCCCCCCTGGGAAATGGGGAGGGGGCTCAA